TTACATTTGTGTGACATTGATTAGTGCCAGTTTCCTTTAGTAGGCTATAGAAGTAAACTGTGTTTTCAAATAATTGTTGTGATTATTTCAGTGCCAGGATTTTACCATAAAGAACCATTTCCTGACTTTACATGGACTAATACATCCACCTTGTTATTTTCTGACCAGCTTATTTTCTCATCCACATACCACTTATATGAGGTGCTTGCACAAGCTGAACCCCATCTGCAGCTTGTCCTATGGTCCCCTCATCTTAATAGTCCTGATGACACAAAGCCACATAAATATGTATTCACTGGTAGCAAAAATATATTTAATTATTGATCATAATTCAGTAGCACATTCATGAAGTGTTGGGCTACCATGTGCTGAAACATATAATTTAAAAGTAACAAAAAAATAAAAATCCATGAAATTTCTTCCCAACCAAAGATGCTTTCATTCAGTCATCCTAATAAAAGGAGTTTGTTGTTCAGATGTCATTGAAATTGTTCCAAGTTTGTGTTTTTGTCTTAATAATATTCAGACAAACAGTTTTTTCAGTAAAGATGATTGGCATGTTGAAAGAAATTATAAAAATTTTAATAATAAAAATGTTTAATAATTTAATAGATAATGAAAGCATTCATCCAGTCATAATAAATTAAGTTTTGAATGTTTAGTAAATGAAAATACATGCAATTGAATTTAGTCTTATTTGTATAACAGAAAAAAGTTTAGGAAATTTTTTGTAGTACTTTGGTGTTTTCATATTAATCCTTCTCTTAAGTTTTTAAGAGCTAGGACAAAAAAAAAACATTTGCAGAACAAGATCATTTTCATATTTTTCATAGTCTAAATCCAAGTCTGTTATGTAATTTTTGATTCAAATAAAATTGCTAAAAGCCAACAAATACCAGCGCAATTTTTTTTCCCAAAATTGAGACTAAATTTTTTCTCAATATCTTGATTACCAATAGAGATTACCCAAATTTTCCCATCTGTGATTTTGTGGTACATGAACCAGAAGCATTTTAGCACATGATGACATTGTAAGTATCATCAAGCATTATTACACACATGTTCTCATGTTACCCACAAATGTGCACATGGCTGCACATCTAAAACTACAAGTAAGAAAGCTAAAAACACACTTTAAATATCCCTGTGATGGTGGAATATTGAAAAGCATTTTACAATACAGGTTTTTGTAATAAGAGCTTAAGTAATCAATCTTATTGAAATATATGGTTAGAAATGATCTAGAGAGAAGTCTTCGCAGTATCTAGTCACATTTCTTCTTAGATCTTTAAAAACTTAATTGACCTATAAGACCACTAGAAAGTCCATTTATTCTCACCATACCACTTAAAACCTGTCCTCATTTTACTGAGACTATCTAGTTGTGATTTAAGTGTCAGACAACTGGAAGAGAGCACAACCTGCTTTGCATTAAAAGTCAATTACTTGCTTCACTCCAGTTAACTACTTCTAGGAAAATGATAATGATGACAAAATGATAATGATACTGCTTTAACTCTTTCATTCCTATTTCTACATTAAAACACATTTCCAATAATACTGACAGGTAAAACAACTTTTCTCCATTTAGAAATGAGTAAACTGAGACTTAGAGCAAATATATGCTTTTGCCAATCATGTCATAACATCAGTGTGAGAAGAAGCCCAGGCCCAAGCCAAGGCCTTTAGATGTTTGCAGAATTGATGCCTTTTAGATCAGAAATTGCAAAGTGTCAAACATAAGCATTTAAAATAACAATCAAATCAATATTTATTATGCATTTACCGAGTGATAAGGAATATAACACATAGTATATGCGTAGTGTAACCTAATTCCCACAAATAACTCTATACCACAGATACTATACACACACACACACACACACACACACATATACATAAACACACACACACATGAGGGCAGTGCTATATATCTATATATCTATATCTAATATATATGTGACAAATACTTGGAATCTTGTTCCAAGTCAATTAGCCAGTAAACAGAAGAACAATAGGAAATGACAAATCAATAATGTATTATTACACCAAGAATTATCTCTGTGGAAATCTTATTTTATTAATAAATTTATTGAATTTTATGAACTATTCAGTCCTAGGTTTTGCCCTTTGGTAGACATACTAACCAGTAAGTACAACTTTTAACAAAAGATTTTTGGAATTCATTCTCTGCTTCCTGAGGACCTTACTCAATAAAACATAAAACCCATTTGTTTTACTATTTGTTGAATTATTTTATTCTAAAATAGTTCTTGTCATTTCTTTGAATTAAATATGTTCTGTGTCTCCAAGAATTTCTTCTCCCAGGTACTTAGTATGTAGGACTGTTTATCATTGCTTTTTCCATTACATTCATCGTATCAAAGTACACTGAGAGAAATGTACCTGAATGAAGAAAACGGAGTCCAAAAATGGCATTTCACTATGAATGCCGTTACTACAGCAGCTCTACAGAAAATTTATTCAAGTTCAGATTGTCACCCCACCACTTGCTAGCTTCATGTCAACGGACATTTAGTTAATTTAACTATGCCTATATGGCTTGTAGGATTGTTGAGACTTGTAAGAATAAATAGAGTAAAATGTGCAGTGAGCAGAATGATCAATACACAGTATAGTTATTAAACAAATGTTATTGTTAGAATTATGACATTGTGTACATATAATTATCTTAATTTATATCTAATAATATTTAGAAATATTACAAAAAAGTATGTACTGGAATTACCTACTTCCAAAGAGAATTTGAAAATCTGTTGTCATGTACTTTATTTTTAACTGAAGTAAAAGATAACACCTATTAAAAATACACATTAATTTATCATAGCCTTTGGACATCAATAAACATTTCAAACAAATGATTCTCAAATATAAATTCTTAGGAATAATTTGTTCTGACAGCTTCCTGTGTTTTTAATAGTTTACAATATATTGTTTACACATTCTACTTCAAAATCAACTTCAATGGTTTCATCAGAAGCTTTTTTCTTGTCCTCCTCTCTATTATTCTCCTCCTACTACTGTTTCTCATTGATATGGTTAGGTTTGTGTCTCTGCCAAAATCTCATCTTGAATGGTAATCCCCAGGTGTTTAGTGAGATACTTGGTGGGAAGTAATTAGATCATGGAGTGCATTTCCCCTCATGCTGTTCTCATGATAGTTAGTGAATTCTCACGAGATCTGATGGCTTTATAAATGGTAGTTTTTCCTGCACTGACACACACTCTCTCGTCTGCCACAACGTAAGGTGCGCCTCTTCCTTTTCTGTTATGATTGCAAGTTTTCTGATGCCTCCCCAGCCAGGCAGAACTGTGAGTCAATTAAACTACTTTTCTTTATAAATTACCCTGCCTCAGATATGTCTTCACAACAGTGTGAAAACGGACTAATACACTCACCTTCCTCTTGATCCTCTTTTTTATCTCTCCACCTTCTGCTTCTTCTCCTCTTTTCCTCCTCTTTGCCTGGGCATCATCATCTACTAAGTTATTAAAAAATAAAATCTTGACATTTTATTTGAATTTGCATCCACACTTGACTATTTAATGTTCATCACTTAAGGTGTTTATTTCCGTTAGGAGGTCAGCATCTTTATAACTAGCTTAAATTAAATGCTATGGATGTGAAGTCTTAAATAAAACCTAACAACATTTATTTCTGGAATATTAAATAAAGATTATATAAATTCATGGATTCATCAGATTCATATCTTAGATTCTCCATCAACAAACATAACAGTAAAGAAAGACAAGTATTCGTATTAAACAATGGTGTAGTTACAAGACTACTAAATTCCTATTCTCTCCCTTTTTTTTTTCATGTGAAACCTGTAACATTTTATTTGTTAAAAACGAACAGCTTCAGAATAGATCTAAATGTAACTTTTCCAAAAAACACCAAAATTCTCTCCCTTTTTAAATAATTTTATTCTGTTACTTCTTGTGCTTTTGTACTGATTTTTCTCTCATACTAAACATTTCTACTCTATTTTTGAAAATCTAAGTATGTTTTAAATAAATGTCAAAGAATCACCAACACCTTAGATACTGAGAATACAAAGGCACGATAACTTTTATTAAGAGTTTATAATTCAGTGGCAATAAGTATTCTATATGAATGCACACATACAGAAGACAGACACAAAGATAAGACAAATGCAAAGACAAAAGTAAAACATATTGGCTATAGAAATTATGATTATTATGGTGAATAAATGTTGTATGTGATTCTATATGAGGGAACAGAATGTGTAAACAGCTAAGGTAAGAAATTTTCTAATAACTCAGCTTGTATAATGTGTCAGGAAATTTGACTATGAAAAGTCTGAGAAGACAAATTCTAAAAGTGAAGCAAGCAGGTAATAGAAATGTAAATCCTCCTTCACCAAGATATAGCTTCTAAGATTTATCCTGGGGATAATTGAAAGTCATTGCTTGATGACTTTAGTTACAAATAAGGTTTTTTAATACCTTTAAAACTTCAGCATAAAAGTAAGCCACAGAGGACTGACAGTGGAAAGCCAGAAATACCCACTAAAAGTCAAACTGTATTATAAACCAGGTGAAAAATCATGGCCTGGGCAGAGTTAATGTTGGCAGAAATGGAAAAACAATATATTATTCACATTTAATTATATGGAATTTTTAGCTTTTGGAGATATGTGAGAAGGGTATGATGGAGGAGTTACATAAATGCATGTCTCATTTGTTCAGAGTAAGGGATTGTGGTATCAATCATTATGATTATGATAAATGAGAGGAACAAGTTGGAAACAATATAGTATTATGAATTTGATGTTGGAACTGTGGAGTTTGGGTGCCTCTTGAAACTTTCTAGATAGCAGGGAGATATTCGAAAAATAGACCTGGACTTTGGAGAGACATCTGGCCTGAGATAATTAGTTGAAAGTTACAAAACAAAGATTACAAATATTGTCACTGTAGTGAATGATATCTGCAGAGATGATTCAAAAAGTGAAAACAGAGTCTAGGATAGAATGCTGGGGAAAGTATCAGAGAATATTTAAGAAAAATAATTGTCTTTCTCCTTACCACACACCTTTATTGTTTAATGTAAATTTTATTTGAGGACAATTTTCCCTTTAGCAGTATTATCTATAGGCTATTCATTCTCTCATACTTTAATAGAACAGAAAGAATACAACATCAGAGAGAGAAAGGAGGCTTTCCATCTTTTATTTCATCTATTTTTCCACTGTTTTGCAGACAATTAATTAAGCAGCACATCTTCTTGTTTTGAGGGTCATGCCATTCATCTAAAACACTTTTTTCTTGAATCTAGTAAGTAAAATAAAATAAGTAACTATTATAAAATATTCATTCTTGTATAATCACTATAACATCTCTTACAATTTATATTGTCTCTCAGTCTGTCAATCTTTACTTTCTTGCTTAATTTAATACCTAAAGTGACCAAGAACATGAAATGTATAACTTCAACCTCTTTGTTCTAAATAACCAAATCCATGACCTTCTTAATTTCTTTTTTCTTTTCTTTTTTTTGTCACTTTGTTGACCTAAGCCTAAAATCAGTTCCGTATTCAGTTATCTCATCTAATTTCTAGCTGATTAAGTAATTGCTGTATAACCATCTAACTTGGAAGCACAATAGCTAAGAAATATATTATTTCCAATCTTAACACTGTCCTCCTTTTCTTTTTTCTATTTTTTTTTTTTTTTTTTTTTAGCAATGCCCTTAACCTCATATCCCTCTCTAAACTTGTTTCTCTTCTGTTCCACTTCTCTTGAGAGAGTAGACTCTACTGCCCTCTCAACGTCTCTACTTCCTCCCATGCACTCATAGATCTACAAAGAGTCTGGCTCCAGTCCCATACCTCTAAAGAAACTGCTCTTTATAATTCAGCAATGTCCTGCTGGGGCTAAAGACTTTGATGAGGTTTGATGTACCCATGCTGACAGAGCAAAGGTATCTTTTTCTGAGATTCGCTATGAGGATACCATTCACTTCTCCTTGACTAGAAACATGCAAGGCCCTCAGAAACCAGAAACATTGAACATATTTCCTCATTTCACATATATGTCTATCCAGTCTACATCCAGAAACAAAATTTTAAAAATGTAATTTTTGAAAATCGAGCCTACTAAATATCAAGGAAAACTGTTCCAACCATGAGTGTGTAAATTATAAGAAACATATAAATCTTAAAAACAAAATCTTTATTTCTACAACCCACATGAAAAGACCATGTAATTTTGGATCTGCTAAGGACATCTTGTATACCATATGGATACGCTTACCTTACAGTGATGTTAGCCCAGAAAAAAAAAAAAAAAAAGAAAACTGAAATGATAGATTTATTTTTCTCTTATTTTTTTTTTTTGGTTTAATCAAGTTGAGTTTTATTTTTATTTAAATACACATGAGTTAGTTTCGAATAATCAATACATCTACCTTAAAAGTTTGTTTTGAAAATTAAATGAGATAAAACATATTGTTACATTTTAGTTTGCAAAAAACTAAATATGGTTTTTGTTAAAGCACAAACTACCAACAAAAAGTCTTATGCAGTCAAAAAGATGAATTTTAATTATTATTTTAAAGGGAAAATAAGCAATTTATTTTAGAGAATAGAATCTAAATATGTCAGCTGAAATGAGAACTTGGGGTAGATAGTTTAAAGAGACAGTGATAATATTTGATATGAGCACTTTTAAGACATTTAATAAAATGCATTTAAATTACCCATAATATTGAAAAACACAAATAATTAACAATTATGTTTCAGGATTGTGTTATTTTTTAAAGCAATGTTTAATACAAAATGAAGATTATATATAAAACATGCAAGTTACAAAACTATTTGGTTTGTTTGTTTTTGAGTTTTATAAGAATGACATAATTATACAGGTAGTCTCCTAGAACTTCCAACATAATTTAAAAAATCTATCCATGTTATTGGTTCTAGACGTAATTCTTCCATTTGGACTACTGCATATTATCATGGTAATTTTATCACAATGTATCCATTTCTCATTCAGAAAGACTTTGTGTATGCATACATTTTTAAAAACTAAAACAAACCAAACTACTATGTATATTCATGTATATTCTTGTACAGATCTCTGGGTACACAAATTCAACAGTTTTTCCAGAGATGATAGTGAGAAACAGAAATACTTGTTTACTAGATAATTTTTGTTTTACCTGGACAACATCAAATAGTTTTCCAATGATGGTTAATTAATGTACACTGTCATAAGCAATATATTGTACACATTTTTAATCGATATTGTGTCTAACATTTTTGCCAATCAATAAGTAAAATGTAGTTCTTATTTTGTCATTAATTTATATTTTCCAGATTCTGTAACAAGCATAATTTTCTGTATATATTGAGTTAGGTACTTAGTCTTCTGTAAAATTTCTGCACATCTTATCATATTCTGTCTTATTGTTATTTTATTTTAAACATTTTTAAAGATTAATCTACATACTCATCTATGTCCTTTTTGTATTCCTATTAACTTCCTCCAAGTAGCTTGTCTTTTCACTTTTATTATGGTATTTTTCAAATTAGCAATTTTTTAAAATTTTGCTATAAAATTTATCAATATTTTTTTGAAAATAAGAATTTGAGGGACATGCTAGAACTGTTTATCATTCTTATTTATTCAGGATACTTTCATATATTATTAACCATTCTTATTTATTCAATAAACTTTGGCTATTGTTGTTTATTTGTACTTGCAATTACTGTCTTAGTTTCAGCTTGCCACATTTCTCATACAACCTATTGAATATTTATTTGAAATTATAGTAAATCTATAGGCTAGTTTGAAAGGAATACATGCCTGTATAATAAAGACATTTCCTATGAATGAACACAATATAGATCTCCAATTATTTGTTCTATTTAATTTTTTCAATAAAATGTTACCAATTTCTGCAAAGAAATCTTACATACATTTTGCCAAAATTATTCTCAATTACTTAAATTCTTTGTACTGTGAGTGGGTCTTATTAAAAAACCCAGTTTTTAAATTTTAGTCTACTGTTTTAGAAATAGATTATTTACATATATAAAGTTTAAATATTTATGAAATCATTCAGTTTAATGATTTTTCTTGAGTCACTTTGTAATTTATACTTTCTTTAGGATTTGACAATCTTGTGTAGGTTTTTAAAAAAATATTGGTATCTAGTTGTTTGTAATACTTTAGTCTTTTAAATAATATCTGACTCTAGCATGCTTTTAGTTCTACTATGCTGTTAAGGGTATGCCAACCTCTCTTCTTCTCATTGATTCATGATCATTCTTTTAATGTATTATATATTTGTCCTCAAAGACCCAACATCTTTACTTTTTAAACTCTGTGTGTGTGTGTGTGTGTTTGTGTGTGTGTGACTGCACACATTTCCCACTCTTTCTTATTTCCTCTTTCCCTCTCTTTCTTCCTTCTTTTTTCAGGGAATAAAGTATACAGTGATAAAATGCATATTTCAGAGGCATTCGCTATGAAGAATAAGCTCAAATCTAGTACACAGCATAATTGTCACACAGGCAATGAAATAAATAAGAAAATAACAACACCTCAAACATGCCCCTTGTGCTCCTGCCAAGAGCCTCTTTGCCCTGGTTGAGTTCCTTAAATTCGAAGAGATATGCTGACATCAAATTCTTCACCTGCTGGCCCTAGGCTCTGTCCCCACCGCAGTACTGCCTTGGCAGTTCACCTCAAGGTAATTCTTCTGAATTAAACTTGGCTCCTACTGAAGTAGTTTCTGCACATAATTTTAGAAGAGGGCATAGTTTTGGCGACTTCTCCTTCATTTGTGAGACCTGTGAAGACTGAAGGAGAATTTATCCTGCAACTGCAATTTCCTCAGTGCCATAATGCTATATGCACTGCTATACTGTTTGCTATTAAATAATATTTTGATCTTAAGGGAGGCAGTACATCATCATTCTTTGAAGAAAGCCTTTGAAGTGGACCACTTCGATTTGATGCAAGTTGCACCATGTCTTCTTGGGAAAATTGTAAATTATGTTCTTGAACTTTAGCTTTCTTATCGCTAAAATAGGAACAATAACAGTAGCTATGACATAGGGCTGCTGTATAGATTAAGTAAAAACAATTACAACACTATAACAATATAGGGAATGTGGCAATGAATATAGAAGTAGTTGCCATTATTATTTCATTTAAAATATACATTTAAGTTTTTTAGCCCTGGGAAAAACCTTTCACAAAAACAACTTTGATTTAACATAATGCACTGCAGACTGAATAAGCCACGACCACAATTATTTTCTTATTTAATTTTCTGACTAATTCAAAAATTCTGTCCTCTTATAAAACTGTTACGGTTGTAATTATCATTTTCTTGTCAATGACAGTTTGAAAATGCTGACATTAGTAATCACAGTTTGTCATTAAAATGTTTATTTTGGAAAAGTGTCAGAAATTAAAGTCAAAGTAATAAATCCATGTCTCCATAAATGACAGTATGGCATAAAATTTTAAGATGCTAGGCATTTTTACTTTATTTTAATCTGTTGCTTTTGAAATGCGTAAAATATATCAAATCATTTTTTTCAGTAAATAAATTTAAGACAAAATAAATTATACTATATTTGCTTAATTTATCTGTAGTTATTCATATTATGTCATTGAACTTTTTTAAGTATAAAAATTAGGTAAAGGATCAAACAAGGAATAATAGGACAATTGTTTAACAAAATAATTTATGAAATATTTATTTAGAATTTTAATTTTAAAATTACCTTTCAGTTATAGTGCATGCGTTGTCTGAATTAGCTTACATAAATATTTCAGAAATTAACTGAATCAGACACAGTTAGTCAACAGTATTCAGATAACTAAGTTTTTGTGTTCTGAATATATCCAGATGGTGCTTATTACTGCATAATACACGTGATTGTATCTCATACTCCTGCTGTATTTTCTAGAGGGTAATAATAATTCAGAAGATGAATATAAACTGTAAAACCCTTATTAAATATGAAAATTTAATTCTGCTATTCTCCCTTTATTTGCAGAGATATTACAAAGTACAATATGTCCAACCATTTTATCTCTTCTTTTGCTTATTTTACAGGGTGAAAGGAATGTTTTTGTTCTAACATTTTTAGTAGAAAGGCATATTTAAATCATTTAAGCTCATCCCATAAACCATCAAAGATAATAATTACTGGGCATTATTTATAGCAACCAAACAAACTATTGTTTATTAATAATAGAGTTTAATAATAGAGTGTCTTTCAAGCTGTAATGTTTGATTATCAAGAGCCATT